TGGATTGTATAAAGAATTGATGATTGAGGTTTCTGAATTTTAAATTAGAATAAGGTTCTACTATAGTCCAAGTAATAATCGATTTCCTTCCATCACAGGACTCCACCGTTAGTTGGTGAAAACTGTTCAAATCGCCTTTAAATAATGATCTATATTTATAGATTATTGATATTTCCCAGATCCACTGGAAAAATGGAGAGATTACAAATTAAAGTTACATCTTAGAATCTTAACCTGAACTTAAACCTGAATGAATCCAGTCAAGCCCAGTTGTCAGGACAATTAAGGATCAAATTAAATAATTAAGACACAAGTGAGAGCTGGAAGGTCCATCTGGGACAGGGAGGGGGACATTCTGCCCCTGTGCTCAGTGTTTGTTAGCCCAGTCAGCTCTGTGATTGCTTGATGAGTTAATTAGTTAATTGATTTCTCTGATGTAGGCACTGCTTGGGTGATGGTATCCCCCCTCCTACTCATTCAGCGTTCTCCATGCCTGCAGATCCCAAGGTCTCATGCCACCATCTCCAGGAAGATCCCAAGGGATCAACTCTTCCGGTTGCTTGGCGAGATGCTGTGATTTGCTGCCCCCCGAAACAGAGGCACAGTGGTGCCCCCTGTTGCTGTGGAGTGGGTGTCTGTGGAGTGGGTGTCTGTGGAGTGGGTGTCTGTGTCTGTGGGTGTCTGTGTCTGTGGGTGTCAGTGGAGTGGGTGTCTGTGTCAGTGTCAGTGGGTGTCTGTGGAGTGGGTGTCTGTGTCAGTGTCTGTGGGTGTCTGTGGAGTGGGTGTCTGTGGGTGTCAGTGGGTGTCTGTGGAGTGGGTGTCTGTGTCAGTGTCAGTGGGTGTCTGTGGAGTGGGTGTCTGTGTCAGTGTCAGTGGGTGTCTGTGTCAGTGGGTGCCTGTGGAGTGGGTGTCTGTGTCTGTGTCAGTGTCTGTGGGTATCTGTGGGTGTCTGTGGAGTGGGTGTCTGTGGAGTGGGTGTCTGTGTCAGTGTCTGTGGGTGTCTGTGGAGTGGGTGTCTGTGTCTGTGTCAGTGGGTGTCTGTGGAGTGGGTGTCAGTGGGTGTCTGTGTCAGTGGGTGTCAGTGGGTGCCTGTGGAGTGGGTGTCAGTGGGTGTCTGTGTCAGTGGGTGTCAGTGGGTGCCTGTGTCTGTGTCAGTGGGTGTCTGGGGGCTCCAGGGGAGAGCTGGTGTGTCCCCAGCCCCCCTCACTCCCTGCTGACAGAGGGTATGTGACTGAGCCAGGAGCTGGCCTGATCGCGTGCGGCCGGAGAGGAAATCGATCGCCGGGAGAGCAGCGCGAGGCACAGGATTGCATCTTGTCAAAATAATTTATTACCCTCATCCCGGGCCTGATCGATGGTCGGAATTAGCAAAGCTCCTTCAGTTTAATATTTACCTCCACCAAGCGGCTCCAGTCTCAGTTTTAATTGATTTGGACGCGGCGCTCTGTGTGTGAGAGGGAGGAGAGGAGAGGAGAGGAGGGGAGCCTGTCTGAGAGACCCCAGCTGCTGTCCCTGTCGGATCCACCCGGAGAGAGAGCAGGAAAAAGACCTGCTTGTATTTCTCCCTC